ATGTATGTATTTAACTTTAATATTTAACTGCACAACACATGAGCACCAGATTTCATCCTTATGGGAAAATGATCTTTACAGCATTAGACACGTGTTACACTTTGCTCTTGTGACAGTGTTTCAGAGCATCTTTCAGTGCTGCCAGCACCATATCGACGTTCTCCCTGCTGCTGTTACATCCCATCAGTCCCACGCGGAGCACCTGGAAAACGACAAAAACATCCAATGTAAAACACACAGGCAGGAACAAATGTGTTTGGATGATGCATATTGGCACTCGATCATCATTTTCTCCTACCAAACCAACTGATGGTCCGAGTCCCCCAGAAATCTCCAGATTGTGTGTTTTCATTATGTAGCTTGTGATCTCTTTCCAGTCATATCCATAAGGAGCAACAATTGTAGTGACTGTTGGTAGCCTCAGACGCTGTAACAAACAGCTCATTATTTAATCTTATATAAGAAAGAGCTGCAAGTTTGATGTAAATTCCCATACAGATTATTATGATTGTTCTAAAAACTTACCTTTTCTTTGACAAAAAGCTTGAGACCCATGCTCTCCAGGCCAGCATGGAAATATTCGGCTACCTTCAGATGTCGTTCCCATGAATTCTCCAAACCCTTAAAAAAATTGAATTATAGAATTAAAGCTAAAAAATTCACAGACAATTCGCAGACACTAGGGAGCTGCAAGTCCTTTACTCATCAACCATATCTCAATTTTCAGAGTACTGATCACAAAAGTGTGCTCTACAGCTGTGCTGTGAAGCTGCATGTTCAGCTAAATTCTAATGCTGGGTGACATGAGTATTTAACAGGTGAAAGTGTTTCATGTTCACTCTTAGACTAGTGTGTTAGCACTTTTCATATTAGCATTAGGCACACAATACCAAGTCTGGTGGGAATGTCACGTTGTTGGTATTCCAATCAAAGCAGTGGATAAATTAAATTTTGGCCTGATAACTGTTGGAGACTATAAATATAACGATCCTAAAGTTGGTAGGATTAATTCTCTGAACATGATCATCAGTACAAGGCTGAAATATTTTAGCCTGCACAAAAGCCAAACATTTGTTCACTCATTAATTAATTATCTATTAATGAATTCATACACTACCGTGTGGCTGTTTTGACAAATTGCCCCTGACATCAACACTCTTGGGATCACTTAACCAAGTAAACCCCTCCACCATGGATCTAGAAAGCTGTGGTGGTTTGGGCATCTAACTACAAAAGCCACTTCCCTCTCCTCACCTGAGGAGGTGGCTGAGGGCTGTCTGATCATACCTGCTTAGACTCCTGTCCTGCAACTCAGACTGAGATAAGCAGGATAATAGATATTTTTCCCCCTCTATGGGATTCCCAAGACAGTTACTGAACCACATAGGATCCAGCTGCTTAACTGGAGCTTAACTGTATGGGCCATAAGAAGTGCTCAACTGGTGGGAGGTGTCTGCAGATTTCCTCAACAAACTGAGTTCTGCATCTGCAAAGTTTTGACTGCTGCAGCTGGACTAATTATTCTCTCTTTTTTGATTCAAGAAAAGTGAGGGGTCTATATTTCGCATTCACTCTGCAACTCATCTGTTTAATAAAAGTCAGGATTTTAATTGAAAATGTGACATTTGCTTAGTGACACCAAATGTTTTAGCTGCAGTGCTTTTATCTCAGGTTTCCACAGAGGAGATACGCTCTGTTTCCATTACTGTATTCTGTGCTTCATTAGTTAATTGCATAAAATGTTAAAACTGCAGGCTCATGAACCCTTTTAATTGCTAGACATGTCTCACCTCTTCAACAAGGACAGACAAACTTTCCCTCAGAGAGTAAAAAGCAGTGACAGGACCTGTGTGGTGATATCTATGAAAAGAGACAAAGCAATACCAAATGATCTTAGTAATAGGTTAAAAGTGAGCCTGAAACACGGTCCAGTCTGCAGAGAAAGTCTTACACTCTTGATGGCTTTCCATCACATCCCCAGTAGTTTGCCAGCCAACTCAAATCCAAGTAAAATGACACGGGCTTTGTCCTTCGGCTGAAGATTTTTTGGCTGTGGATAAATTTACCTTTAAATACTTATGGTACCCTATTATTCTGAATGAATAAAAATGATAAAAATGTGCAGTTCTTACCACGCTCTCTCACTGAAGGAAATCGGTGCTGTACCTGGTGGGGCATTCAGAACCTTTTGGGAGCCTGTATACAGGATATCTATCTCTAAAAGTACAAACATCGACAGAAAAATCCACATATATTATTTCATAAAATAAAGACTGGAAACATCTTGCAGGATTTTTCAGTGCACCTTGCTGGTCCATGTAAACAGGGGCTCCTCCAATTGATGCCACAGAGTCAACAAGAAACAGGCAGTTATACCTGCAAGCAAATCACAAAACACCTATATCATCTGTCTAGCTGCAGATGTGGTGATGGCAAAGTGCTGTGTCTTACTTATGGCACAGCTGTCCGATGCCATCTAAAGGATGCAAGACTCCCGTAGAAGATTCTCCGTGTGCCACAAAGAGCAGCGCAGGTCTGTGTTTGGATAAAGCCTGCGGTGAGATAACAGTGTGATTACACAAGTGGCAGCAGTGACAGAAATGATTAAATTAGCCTGATAGCTGCAGCATCAGGAAACAATACCTTTTCCATCTCTTCAATAGTGAAGCAGCCACCAGGAGGAGCGACTATAGTGTTTACTCTCGCACCTGCAGGTTTGATACACATGCGTTTTTCTTTATTAACTGTTTTTTTAATTACACCAATGAAAGCCACCTTAAAAAGACAGCAGCAGTAATACTCTGTATTTTTATCATCAAATCCTGTGGAAAGACCTATGGGAGATTATTTAATTATGTTCCACAATGCTCCGTTATTTTCCTAAAAGTCAGTATAATGCACTGCCTGACATGTTCGTTACTGTGGACATGCTGCAAATACTAGAGCAGCTAATGAGTATTTACCATAGACTGCATATATGGCTCATGGTTCCCTTATTGTATGACCTCAGTAAAAACCTTTCTCAGGAGATTATAGGTTCAGCTGCTAGCACAACATTAAGTTAATGTTTTAAACAGCTATGATGGCGTCTGTGAAAATGTTCAGCTTGACTTGCAGTGTGCTTTGGTGTCATGCATGTTGTGCCTGTCACAATTTGTGTAACCTGGAACTCACACAATGGCCCAGGTGGAGGCACAGTTGCGTGAGAGAGACAGTTTCTTAGGCGATTTCAGAGATTAGCAGATGGCACACATCAACTTTGCCGTACATTTGGAAAAGGCGTGAAAGTATTCCACAGCAAAAGCTCTTTTTGAACAGTGCCCATCTGTTGTAGGAAATTATATTTTTGAATTTGGTTATCTTCCAGGATTTGTTAGGTACAAATGATACAATGAGCCTTACCTATCCTCTCTGCCATCTCAGCTGCTCTCTCTCCCCAGATTCCATTCACAGCTACAAGCACGCTTTCCCCGGGCTCCACTGCATTGAAGATGGCGCACTCCATAGCACTGTGGCCGGTGCCACTCACAGCTAGAGTCATTTTGTTTTGAGTCTGGAACATATACTGGATCCCACTCTTGATGTCGTTCATTATCTGTAATTGAAAAAGGGCCAAGTTTGGTGTAACGAGTAGCGATCTATCTGATGTTAGAACCATTCCCAATCTTTGTCTAGCACAGACAGCATGCAACCCAAATATAGATCCTAGTCATTGGTGTTAAACCTCTGAAGTTACCTCGAATATCTCTGGATGCATGTGTCCAATGACAGGGTTAGCACCAGCCTCCAAGATCCGTGAAGGGACGTTTGAAGGTCCCGGTCCAAACATGTGACGATAGGGAACAGTCAGAGGTTTCTGCAGGCATTTTGGTGGCGGTACAGAGATGGACGACATGTTCCCAGCAGTGTAACAAGCAAAACAAAACCACAAAGAGCCGTGGAACCAGAGAAACCACACCTCAGCTTAACACACCTCTCTTTCTGACCAGTGAGCATCACAGGTCAGAAGACCATCATAACATGTTCTGCTTTTATCTTTCTCTTCTTATGTCAACACTTGTTGGTCTCTCTGCGTAATGAGCTCGTGTAGTTTGATGTGTTCTCATTTTTCAAGATAAGCAAGTGATCCTGCATGTCCCGAGATGTTAATCATTGACCACCAACTGAGTCTCAGGTTTAACTATTAAACTGCAGTGTTCCTAAAACATTAACAGAGTTTGTTTGCTAAAAAAAAATTCACTTTGTAAGATGATATTTTAAATGCATTAATGAACCTTAATGAAATCTATTACATCTCGGGTCATTAAGAACCCAACAATTCTCTCATAAGGAAATAGTTGATGAGGAGAAACTCATTTTTACCAGGATGAAATCTCCTGTTAAAACAAGACTCACAGTGGACAGCCTTCTACTTTTAAATATCCTAGGAACCACAATTAAATCAGCAGTCTGTGAGTAAAGTGCTCTATTGGGAGAGTATGGCCCTTTAAGATATTTGTCATTATTCAAGACCTTGTATGTGAGGAGAAGGATTTTAAATTAGATTCTGGATTTAACAGGGAGCCAATGAAAGGAAGCCCATATGGGTGAAATATGCTCTCTTTACACTTTACTCCCTGTCAGTCCTTTCACTGCAACATTTTGGATCATCTGAAGGCTTTTCAGGGAGCTTTTAGGACAACCTGATAATAATGAATTACAGCAGTCCAGCATAGAATAAATAAATGCATGAGCTAGTTTTTCAGCGTCACTCTGAAAAAGGATGTTTCTAATTTTAGAGATAGTGCACAGATGAAAGCTTTTGCTTGAGTATTCTTTTGAAGTAAATATGCGGTATCGTAATTACATTTTTCTGTGCAGTTAAAATGCTAAAGTTCAGCAGAAGTTTTAGTTTTTTAAATGACCCTTAGGCCAGTTTTTGTTTTCCATTATTATGAGGTCAATAACTTTTTAACCATCACTCAGTGAGAATCAGTGGTGAATTGAATATTTGAGGTTTATTATGACAGCTTGTCATTGTGCTTCACAGTTGGGCCTGATTTGTCTTCTGAGGGATGAGGAGATGCTTCCCCAGAGGTTCGGCGCAGAAGCTGCCATCTTCGTACACGAGCCGTCCCCTCAGGATGGTGGCGCGCACGGCCCCTTGCAGTTTGAGGCCAAGGTAAGGAGTCAGCTGATTGCACAGTCACAAACAGCAAACTGTTATACAAACAACACTCGTCAACTCATCATACAGTGTTTCTGTTAAAATTTTCTCAGTCATTGTATTTACCTTGTTTTTATGATGTATGTTTTCTTCTTGAATCTGTGAAACACAGCAAAGGATGAAAGACGACTGCCTCAGGATATGATGACTGTTTATGGTTTCTTACCTCAAACTCTCTCTCTGGGTCCCACACGACCAAGTCGGCATCATAACTGGGGGCAAGGCAGCCCTTCCGGCTGTCGAGGCAACACAGCTGAGCTGTTTTTTGGCTCAGGAGCCTCACAACATCAGGGAGCTGAAAACCTCGTTTACTGGCTGAACTCCAGAACAGAGACAAGCCTGAAAACGATGAGAGTAATAAAGAAGATCACTGAGAACTGAACTGAGACTAATCAAATCAGAGTTTTTCCACTCCTTAATTCTATTTGTCCTTTAATAATAAGATTGTATGAGGCGAAACACTGCGTATCACTGTCACGAGACGTGTTGGTGTCAGACTTTGACCGCTCTCTCACTGAGGCAGAACAGTAAATGATTGCTTTAAACTGGAACTCGTTCATGTTTACCTTCCTGTGAACTTTGACTGACTGTCAGTGATTGTCAAAAGCATTATGGGGGATATGTGGGGGCAGGGGGCAGCTAATCCAACCCAAAAGAAAAGAAGCATATCCCTGTAATATTCCACGGATTAGAATTCATTTGTAATCCATCCATCCATTTTCTTCTGCTTATCTCATTCAGGGTCGGGGGGGTTGGAGCCTAACCCAGCTGTCATACAGTGAGAGGCAGATTACACCCTGGACAGGTCACCAGTCTGTCAGAGGGCTAACACACAGAGACATCATCTCTTCTATTCATATCAACTGGTTGATTCTCACCAGAGTGTTCACTATTATACGAGGTACTATAAAAGTGCTGAAAGTGCTGTGATTATAATTGTATTGTCTGAAACACTACGTTATGTTGCAGTAGTTGAGTAGAATAGTTTCTCCATCTACAGTTATTACTGATGCGAATGCCTGTTAACAATTCCCATTACTGTCATCCAAATACAGTTTTGGCATTTGGTCTTTCCATTGCACCAAACAAATACTTGGAAAGCTGCAGCAAGACCTCCTCAGGATACAGAACAGATCACGCATCTGACATGACATTAATTATGGAGGAGAGAGGCTTGCTGAGGCAGCAGTAACTGCAGGCAGGTGGCATCAACTTTGCCGGTATGATATGCAGAAGGGGTTGATGTAGGCTGCTGAGGTCCCGGGACCGTGGCAGACATTAAGGTCTGCCTGCCTTTTTGATAGTTGCTACTGAATATTAAATATTCTGCATCTGTGTTTGCACGAGTCAGTACCAAACTGTAAAGAAGAAATCCCTCCCCAAGCCTGTGTGAAGTCTCCACTGTCCAGTTTCTTCAAGTCGGTGGTGCAGGGGGAGTGGTCTGAGACCACCATGTCAATCTGTCCAGCTTTCAGCGCAGACCATAGCTGCTCCTGGTGGGGAAAAATCAGTCAGAGAGTAGCTTTTTGTTGTTGTTTGCTGAAAATAGTCAACTTTGTGTCTTCTGTACATATGATTGTTTACTCGGTTAACAGATCCTCTGATGGGTGGGCAGCACTTAAATTGCGTGGCCCCTGCAGGTATGTCTTCTGCACACAGGCTGAGATAGTGATGGGTGGTCTCCACAGTCAGAGGAGCTCCAGCCTGCCGTGCTTCCTCAATCAGTTTCAGTGGCTTTGCAGAAGACAAGTGAACTATGTGGCAGCGAACCCTGGAGCAGGGATATTATAAGAAACATCAGCATCTCCCTTTGGTTGATTTTCTTATGGAATGACTCTATTTTTTCCTGCTACACACAGAACCTATACAAATATATGAACTATGATATTATGGTTATTCGTTAACATGATGATTTTCTCACCTGTACTGCAGGCAAAGCTCTGTGACAACACGAATAGCTTCGGTTTCCATGACGTCTGGCCTGGACCGCAAGAAGGTGGAGTACTGGCAAGGGTCTAACATGGGGTTGGGTAAGAAAATATCAGTGTTTATTAGTGTAAAAACAAATAAAAAGGATAAAGGATGAATGAATTTTGGACACTGACTACATTATATTAAGTATTTTCATAAAACACTGTAATGATTGTTACCACCAGTCTCTCCTTTTCCTTCCCAAACGTCCCTCTCTGCATGAAACTGGAGGAGACAGGAGAAAAAGGCTTATTTTTTTTTATTTCATCTGGCAATGTTCTGTGTGCAAACTAAAGGCAAATCACACACAGAGTAAGAGAACTTAATGTTACATAAGATGTTTTGGTTTGTAAATTACCAGCAGGACGCTTCCTGTGCCTTGCAGCTGCTTCATGGCTGTATGTAGATCGCTGTCATTTACATGGGGGAACTCATCCACCCCGCTATGGATGAGAAAACACTTGAAGCCAGCCACTCCAGCCTGGATCATTGGACGTAGATGGAGCTGCAAGGAGACATTCATGGAGCTTTTTGCTTTAGTCTTGTTTTTTTTTGTTTGCTTTTTTACAACCTGGCCTGTTTGTAGAGTTCATCATGCTAAAGCTGTGCACACATTACCTGATTGCCAGGGACCACGCCTCCCCAGAAGGCTACATCCACAAAACACTTCCCTGTTGCCTCCCGCAGCTTCTCGTGAAAATTTCCAAGAGTTGTGGTGGGAGGGATGCTGTTTCTGTGTGAATAACAAAGGCCTGATGAGAGCTTCATGTCTACTGTTTAAAAAGAATCTTTCTAAAATGGTCCCAGGCCAAAGCTAAAAATCATTTCAGCCATAGAATAAAACATAAAACTGATAAAGAAGACATGTTACATTACTATTACTTTTTTCATTACTTGTGCTATATTTAACCCGTCAGGCAAGACTGCATCGTTATGTTTTGTTTTCTAGCTTTAAACTTTTTCCAGTTACCCTAAACTCATTCACTGTAAGTATAATTCTTAGAATAAAGTGTTGCTCACAAATTAAAATTTCAGCCTTGACATTTTAAACCAAGCCATTGACGTACAGTGCTTCTCAGATTCATTTTGATGTTTGCCTGAGGAAAACAACATTTATTTTGCAGTCTGTTTACCCTGCACGCTCTGCCAGTGACCTTGTCTGATCAGACTGCAGGGACTGATTTCTGAATTGGTGAAGTCTCCAACTTACAGCGGCATGTCCACAATCGTCGTCACCCCTCCGGCTGCTGCAGCTCTGGTGGCGGTCCAGAAACCCTCCCAGGAGGTACGGCCTGGTTCATTCACGTGAACGTGGCAGTCTACAATGCCTGGCATCACCACGCTGTCACCCACATCCAGCACCTTCCAACCACAGAAAAGTTTTTTTAAACAATGCAATGAATCAAGCATCTTAGAGAAATAAGATCTTCAGGAGTGTTAAATCAGTGAATTACAATTTTACAGACAGGCGAATTATCCTGAGCAGTGTTCTGAGGAGTGAGACCCAGCTTACCTGACAGGCCACATCCTCAGAAAAGCTGCAGCTCGAGACTATTTCATGTATCTTCCCATCCTTTATAACTACAACTGCAGGACGTACTTTGTCACCATCCAGCACCCTCGTACTCCTCACAGCACTGACTGTTGATCCGAGTTCCATGTTTCTTTTTTATTGACTGTTATTGAGTTGAGTACCCTAGACTCTCACTAATATTCCTCTGAACTCTAGATAAAATCTGAGCAGCTCAGTTGCCCTATGTGGAGGCACAACCCTCTACTGAACGGGCTTATTGACCCTTGTTTGGCCACGTGACATGCAGGGCCAGTCATGCACGGTTTGTATGAAATTTCACAAGTAGGACCATAAAATATACTGATTCTAGAGGACATATGACAAATTGTGAGCATGTTGAGTGGTGTCTGATACTGCATGTACTAATACTGATACTTTTTCTTTTAAAGGCATTTTCATACTTCATGTTTGAGACAGATTTTTTTCAGCTCCATTTAAATATTTCATTTAACATATTTCAGGGGGCTTATTTGAATGTCTGAATATAGTATAGTAATAGATATGATGACCAATATCACTTTTAAAATTAATTCAATTCAACTTTATTTATATAACGAAAACCACAACAGGAGTCATCTCAAGGCACTTTAGGTAAACGGGCTACAATAATCTATTATTTGTTTGATCGTATTTTACAATGAAACGGATTTAACTTAAAAATGTAGATTTACACTTTTTTTTTTAAACCGAATCAGTTTTGAGCACACATCTGCGCCGATTCTGACAAGTATTTAAAAAAATAAAAATCTCGTGCGCAAATCCGACAGATGTGATCCTCCTCACCTGTCATCACTGCAGCCTGCTGCTGGCTTTGGCTGTCTGTGGGCGTGGGGTGAGTGTGAGGGATGGAGGCTGACAGGATTCAGCTTGAGCAGGCCTCGCCTCCCCTCATCCCTTCATCCTCCCGGCGATGCGCTGTGCGTTATGACGCCAGGCCGTTTGACGAGCGCATTACGTGGGGCTGTCAGAGCAGCACAGCAGCCGCGTTATGTAATGCATCGGGTGTTGCTGCACGGATCTCAAGATCTGGAGGAAAACTGACGGATGGCTGATTTGGTAACAAATAACCGCGTGCCGGCGTTTGACTGAGCTTACAACTACAATGCTAACTGTAAACTGTAGGAGTGCAGTGTGATAGAGCCTGATTGGGACATCGGTGCCCATCCCTGAGGTGCACAGACGTCTGGAGCCTGCGGAAGCTGCACATCTTTTTTTTTTTTTAGCCGGCCGCTGGCGCGTCTGTGTTCAACGTGTTCTCTTATCTCAGTGGAAATAAACTAATGCGGGTTTGGCTGAGGGAAGAAACAACATCGTCTTTTGTTCTTTATTGCGTTGGTTTGAGCCAACAGCCGCTGAGCTGTGGTATAAACAATGGCGGGTCCCGAGCAGTCCCAGCAGCAGCAGCAGCAGCAGGTAGAGGAGAAGGCAGAGCACATAGATGATGCTGAGATGGCTCTGCAAGGCATTAACATGCTGCTCAACAACGGCTTCAAGGAAAGCGACGAGCTGTTCAGGAGATACAGGTAATTATTTTGCGCATTAATCGCTGCAATCTTGCTGAAGCCTACAATTTAGTGAGATTTTTTAAGTCTGAAACATTATATACACAGTACAGTATGTCCCTATGGATCCACATATACCTCAAACGGAAGAATATTTTTTAAAGAACTTTGCTATCTTTGAGGATCTGTCTGATTTATGTCACCACCTTTAAAATGGAAGTCATAGCACTAGAGTTGAAATTAAGAAACCAGGTGACAGATATAAAAGTTAAGAAATCAAAGAAAATGTTAAACGATGTCAGTTACTTTATTACTGTATTTTCTATCATGAAAGTATTTGGTGATTTTGTAGTACATTGTAATAAATGTAAATCAGTTTAAATGTATTTTAACTTATTGGTCGAGATAAAAACATTTTGGGATTTCAGCTTTAGCTCTGAAGAGTCGTGAAGGATAAAGGATATTTTTTCAGGCACAACAGATTAATGATACTTGTTTGTTGCAGCCCTACGTGGCCTCGCTAAATGTATGCACTGAGACACTTGCATTTTCCTCCTTCCATGTCAGACAGATAGTCCTTGGCAGCGGTCATGACAGCTTAAGATGAGACTTGTTTCTGCTCTGTTTGTGCCAACAGAAAAAGTTACGGTCTGCAGCTCCTTTTAAAAATGTTCATCTTGGTTTTGCAGGACACCCCAAAAATACACAAAAAGCATAATAAAGATTTTTTTTTCTTGTTCTCTGGTTTTTTGTTTCTTCACAGGGGCCAGAGCCCATTGATGAGCTTTGGGGCCAGTTTTGTCAGCTTTCTGGTGAGTTTTCTTAGCCAGTAGTCCAAAAAGTTGGTAGAAAAAATAGCAATGCACTGAAAGAGGTGTAAAAGATGCAAGAGCAGAGTTAAAATAATGGCCATCCCATCACAGTTCACCCAGGTATTAGGACCTCATTGTCACCACTACATCCTCTCCTTTGATTTGCTTTTAAATCCATTAACATAATGGATGCTTCCTCCTCTCAAGATCAGCATCACTCTTGCAGTGAAGCACATTACTGAAATGCTTCAATAATGGCAGAAGGAGATTTTTCACAGCATGGTTGTCACACACACACACACACACACACACACTCACAGACACTGCTGTGTCACTCCCACTCGTGTCGACACTCGCACAGCATGATGTCATCCTCTGTCCCCAGATGCTAAATGGCCCTGAAGGCTGTTGGGGGTGCTGACATCTGACCAATCATTGCAGGCACTCACACATGCCCAGTGGCATTTAATGCACCATGCATAATATTATTACAAGCTAGTATAAAACCACAAAATTAATTTCTTATGTCAATGTAAGAAATTATTCTTGTTTTATATTTAGCATTTCACCCTGTGTGTGTATTCTGCTGGGCTGCATCTTTTCAGCCATCCCAAACACAGCTGCACAGATGTCACCGTGTTCCTCCATTCATTATTTTGTAGAAAGAGCCCTTTGTCCTTTCCTGCTTTTAAAGCTATTACATAATGCTCCTTCACTCTTAGATTGTAAGCTAGCTAATGCATAAAAATGCCTTACAAAACAATACAAATTCATATCAAGATAGTACTAATGTGAAGCAATGAAATATCACCAAACAAGGACTTTTTTCCTGCCTTTCACTGCAGAATGCCATGATGACATTTGAGGAGGAGAAGATGCAGACTGCCTGTGATGATCTGAGGACCACTGAGAAACTGTGTGAGAGCGACAGCGCTGGAGTCATAGAGACAATCAGGAACAAGATTAAAAAGAGTGTAAGTGCAACGCTATTTAAAAAAAAAAGAATTCAAAGTGTATATTATGGGGCTTTCTGGAGGGTGCTGAAAAAAAACTGTAGACTAAACTGATAAGAGAGCTTCCATTAAATTTGGGGCTGAACTGAAATCCAGAGATACTGTTAGTAGAGATTTAGATGGATTCCACTGTTGCTGGCATCTTCTTGTATCACGGCCGGTACAGGCTGCAATCCAGATAACTATGTTAGGATCCTCAGCTTTAGGCGTAATGATGCAGGCAACAATGAGATCATGCCAAACTCACTCGCAGATTCAATTAGTACTCCTGGGAAATTTAATCAACAAACTGGGTGAGGAGTGGAGGGTCATTCAGGAAACTCCCCGTCCCTCATGCCTGCCAACCGCTGGGGAAACGAGACGCATGCTGGCAACTAAAGACGTGTGCCTGTGTGTGCGTGTTACAGATGGACTCTCAACGGTCCGGCGTTGTTGTCGTGGACCGCCTGCAGAGACAGATAATCGTCGCCGACTGCCAAGTATACCTTGCTGTGCTCTCTTTTGTCAAACAGGAACTCTCAGGTAATAAACAAAGAACCATCACAAGCCGGTATGATCTGAATCTGCATCATTCATGAAGTAAACCAGTGTGTGGGAAAGTGGGGGGTTAGATTGCTGTTGGTCTATCATGACTAGGTTTGCTTGATTGTTGAACTTGTACTTGACATTATAATTCTGATTACTTTGCATGATTCATTAACTTAACGAACCTGTGGGATGTTCTTGAACTTTAAATTTAACTCAAGTGAAAAGCTAAGAGAGGTGCAAGTGGTGACAGACACAGGGTTGGATGTTAGTGCCCTCAGAGGAAGAGTCTTGTTGTTTTGGTTAGTAAAGCCTGTCTTGCAAGTGCAGTAGATGGTCCATGCTTGTCCACGACCTTCGGTGTAAGCGTCTTACACCAGAGGTCAGGCAGCAGACTCACCTGCCTTGGCGAATCTGTATAATAGCATAGATCAGAGTGATGGAGATTTGTCACCAAACACCCACTTACTCAGATGAGTTTTGTTTTAAAAAGTGTTAAGCGATTAATGAAATAATAACACAGAAATTCAGCTCAATGGTTCTCAGGTGATCCTCATTTCTTATGTAATTTGCCGCCTGAAAGATGTGAGAGTGCAAATGTCTGATTCTGTCAAGATTAGACGTTCAAAGATCTGTAGCACGGAGTCTGTGTAATATCCATGTGAGACTGTGTGAGATAGTGCAAGTAACTGGAGAGTTCGCAGTGATTAAATTGTCATCTTTTGTCCTGTTCTCCTGCACACTCTACCAGCTTCTTCTGATTCTCAGCATTTTTGTTACAGATCATACACCAGCAGTGTATTTCCAGTATTTCCAGCAGTGAGAATCTTGCTACAGCAAGCTAAATGAAGTATAGTTGTTTCTGGTCTGAAATTGACACAATTTGGCACTTAATAAAGTTAAATATTGAGTAAATGGTAAGAATTTATAGTCAGGCCTAAGACTTACTTTCATGGATGGGTTGTTGCAATCAGTTAGATAAATTAGCAATAAATTCAAAACCATAACAGAAGATTTAGAGTTTTTTATAGTTGTCTTCTGGGTTTCTGGGTTTGTTCTTCCACCTCAGCATGTCGGTGCAGAGCGTCCTCCAAAATATCTTATTTCCTGTTTCCACTGACAGCGTATATCAAAGGAGGCTGGATTCTCCGTAAGGCTTGGAAAATGTACAATAAGTGCCACAGCGACATCAGCCAGCTGCAGGACGCCTATCAGCGGAGGTCCTCTGGGAACCAGGACTCCCTCTCAGCAGACAACGCCAACCACAATACACCCGTGGAGAATGGTGTCACAGCCGAAGCCCTGGACCGCCTCAAGGGCTCAGTCAGCTTCGGTTACGGCCTCTTCCACCTGTGCATCTCCATGGTGCCGCCACACCTGCTCAAGATTATCAACCTGCTGGGTTTCCCTGGGGACCGACTCCAGGGCCTCTCCTCCCTTATGTATGCAAGCGAGAGCAAGGACATGAAGGCCCCTCTAGCTACGTGAGTGAGCGGAGGTCTTACCGTTTATTACATCAGGCTCATTTCTACAGCAGGAACTCCGAGCAGAAGTTTTATATGTGAGCAGCTCCCTAATCTGCTGTGTCAGACCCTCTAATTCCATTGCAGAAAATGATCCATAAAACTAAACTGAGGTGACATATTTTGTTAGTTTAAACAACATAAATCTTAACAACAATAAAGGGAACAGAGATGGTTGATGGTTGATATCTGATGGTGACATTTCAGTGTAAAAATACTGCTATTTGAGCAATGCAGCTGCTGTTCTTCATCATCTTTTAGAAATGTTTTGTGCAACAAGCAAACAGTGCAGTTTTTCATCGGCACTCAGAAGTACCTTCATGTAAGCATGTACCCTTTCCCTTTTTTTAAAACAATCCTGAAGAGGTCCAGTGGAGGCAGTTACTGTTACTCAAACAGCATGCAAAGATGCCTGCATCCCTAAAATGGCCCACAAGTTCCTGCGGTAGAAAATTACCTTTAGGATAATAATATTATTATTAATAATAATAATAAACAAATGAGGAATTGCTGAGTGGTTCTTAATGGTTCTGTTTAAGCTTAATCACTTGTTAATTATAGCATATAGTAAAAGATCGTCACATACGAGTTCTTCTTTTCCCCCTCTTCTAAATTTAAAACAGTCTCACCAACGGTCATTTAACAGCTATTTTGTGGTTTTTGATTACATAACATAGAGCTTGTTAACCAATCAGGGTCCTCTCTTCACCCTGGAATAAGCAGCTGATAATAGAGTCTCACTAATAGGTTTATTTGAGAGCTGCGTGTCAGCTTTGGGAATTAATTTTTAATCTCAAGTTTTAAGCCACATTGACAAGACGTTTATAAGCTTAATTCCATTTCAGAGCTTTAGACTGACCACTCTGGGCTCAATCTCCTGTTTTGTTGCTCAGGTTGGCCCTCTTGTGGTACCACACCGTAGTGCTGCCTTTCTTTGCTCTGGAGGGCTCGGATACGCATGCAGGGCTGCTGGAAGCGAAAGCTATTCTGCAGAGAAAGTCAGTGGTTTACCCCAACTCCTCTCTTTTCATGTTCTTTAAAGGACGAGTCCAAAGGCTAGAGGTATGTAACCTTTCGGTAATGGTCAGCGACAGATCAGTCAGCAAGTCCATATTAGCTGCAGATGGTTTATTTGTGTTGTGCTCCATGAGAAATTCACAGAAGTAGAGTAAATACCATTCACCTCTCTGTGTTTTGAGCACATGCACTTAATATGCATGTCAGACGGTTCATTAACTCGCCAGCATCTAATCAACCACCTACTGATCCCTCACCCAGTGCATGCATGTAGTCTGTCTAACATGATTACCGTTACCTGTTGGTGTGTGTGCTCTCTCCTCTGTCCCCAGTGCCATATCAACAGTGCTTTGGCCTGTTTCCACGATGCATTAGAACTTGCATCAGACCAAAGAGAGATCCAGCATGTGTGTCTCTATGAGATTGGTACGTGTTTCCTCATCAGGTTAGTCGTGACATACTGGCTGTTGGCGCAGACTGCAGTGATAGATTAATTGCACTCTGCCTGCTTTTCCTTGAAACAGGCTGGTGTAGCATGATAGAGCTGAACTTTGAGGATGCATACAGGGCATTTGAAAGACTGAAGAATGAGTCTCGCTGGTCACAGTGCTACTATGCGTATTTGACCGGAGGTAGGTCTGGCATACACTAACAAGCGACACTGTTAGGATGCTGTTCCTTTTGCTTTAGCTCCTAAATGGTCCTCTTTGTGTGTTTTTTCAGTGTGTCAGGGTGCTTCAGGAGACCTGGATGGAGCAAGTGGAGTTTTCAAAGACGTGCAGAAGCTCTTCAAGAGAAAAAACAACCAGATTGAGCAGTTTGCTGTGAAAAGGGTGGGCACTCTGATGACACCTTTTTATCTTTTCTTTCTTTTACAAAGTGTAGAGCCAGTTAGGGTCACAGGTTGCGCTTCACTGCACAGTTGAAGTCAACTGTGACATTTTCACAGGACAGAAGTTACATCTAGTACCTGATTTAATTCATGGATGGTACAAAACATGAACATAGCCATCACAACTAATGAGTAGCCACATTATTCTTAGCCAGCGAGCATGCCCTGGATAAGCCTCATTTCTATAATGATCATATTTTACAAGCTGGACTTGTATTCAAAATGTTTTATTCAAAATGACTGTGAGCCTGTGAGGACGGTGTTTATTGAGGTCAAAGGAGAAAAGAGCCTACACCCATTTTCCTATAGTCTTAAATACAACTTAGAATAGAATACAATAGAATAGAAGGACTACTTTACTGTCATTCAGCAAAAACAGACAAACTGCACTGTCCTCAGCATTCATTCATGTAAAACAGTGCAGGAACAGTGTTTCTGCCACCCTGGGCACCACCTGGTGGACAGTAGAAAGAATGCAAGACTAAGGTGACTTGCTTTCACTTTTCAGACTCAGAGGTTAAAACCATGTTTATAAAATTTCGTTTCTATGGATTTTTTCAGCACCCTGGTGGCTTGTGAAGGTACTGCATGTGGACAGAAAGGCATTATTTATAATAAACTAATAACTTAATGCTCATAAAATAAACCTAGTGTATATAAGTTAAATAATCACTTCTCTGGTCTTAGACCTCCAAAAATATTTTGTTTTTATTTTG